TCCCATTCTGACTTTACCACAGTTTATTTATCCACTCTGTCAATGGGCATCTGGTTTGTTTCCAGGCTTTTCCTGGGGTCAGTGCTGTGAGGACCACCTTGCACATATCTCCTGCTGTACACGTTCAGGAGTATCTCTTGGACATACGCCAAAGAATGAAATCGCTGGGTTAGTACGAAACTACAAGTTTACAAATAAGGCCATACTGTTTTTCAAAGGACAAATTAACCTCTCTATGAAAATAAAGAATAGGAACAATTAAAGATTAAACATCTGTAAGTATTTTTCATGGCTTCACTTGCACTGTTATTGTCATCTGACATAATTGTTTACTTATTCTCTACCTAGTTAAATTCCATTCTTCAAGTTTCAGCTTCAGATTCACTTCCCCCATTTGGCTTTTCTACGTAACCTACTCCGTCCGCAGTGGTTTTCCCTGTTGAATTTCCTTGGTCAATGTATAAACTACGGGTATGCTATCCCATCATTTCATTGCTTTTACAGTACCTTGCAGTTATTCTTTAGTTCACTATTACCTATATTTTCATCCTAATATACGCTTGTAATTTTTACAACTTGAATGGCTTGTCTCCGCTCTACCACCTGAATAACTACTCTTCAGTCAAACACTGGCAAAGGAGAGTATAATTATATGTTTATGGAGGAAATTAGAAGTAGATGGACACATTTAACTGTGCATAGTAGGAAAGACCTGTACATGTTTAGAGGAGCAATAAGATCCCCTTGACATTTTTGTTAAGCATATAGTTATGTCTAAGTTATAATGCAGAATCCCTGATTCAGGAACCCATGAACAGAGATCACTGAGAATCCGGGTTTTTCTTCCCCTTAGGGTATTCATTCACACACACAGGCTGCGAATTTTGTATCTGGCTGTTTCACTCTCTGCTTTGGTTGGTAAGGAGCTTGAAGGTGAGTTTCTGGCCCATCTTTAGTAATTCTGGTATGTACTTTTTGTGGATGAACTTTACTCCTGGCTTCCTTTAATCTTAAATGCTTTCTATCTATTCATATGTTGGAAAATTATCTCAATCTGGAACACAGTGGGATATAAGTAACAGACCAAATAAATGCATGAGTACAGAAATGAATATGCAAAAAATTTGATAAGTCAAATTAGGTAAAATGCATCTGTAATTTATGCTATGGATGCCAACATTTGTGCTTCCCACTGTCCTCTCACTCGAAGTTCACCTAGCAGGGTACTTATCTCAGCATCTGAGGGTTGGGAACTGTGTTGCCCTAAGAGGGGCAGCCGAACTGGTGGACCTGCTGCGTCTGCTTCCTTTCCTGCCATTTGCTCCAACCACCAGGGAAGATCCTAGTTGTATTTGGCATTTAGGTTTTATTTAAAGAAAGAGTTTTAATGTAAAAAGAAAAGTGCAAACTTGTCTATACACTACACACTCAATATGCACACCTCAGCTGATTGTATTCATCTAGCGTTTTATAATATTTTGTGCTGTCTTATATTCTTCCCATACTCCTGCAGTCCAGAGTTAGGGTGGGTAACAGGCACATCATTGGGTCCTTAGTCCTGCTTTTCTTACAGCATCTCCAAATAGCCAGAATACTGTTTGAACAGAATCATAAGATATATATAAGCCTTAAATAGAAGTATTGTATAGGATGAAGAAGAGAGATAAGAGGACCATCTAAGTCAGATTGAGACAGTCCTTAATATAGGAACTAGTGAGTCACTAATTCGTCGTTGCTATTAGAAGGTAGATACGTATAACTTGTGATATAATGAAAACCTGCCTGCAAGGTTTTCAGTGTGCCAAGCCATGATGGAAGAAGGCAGTCCTTTGTCTTCTGCGTACTTGGGTGTACGCTGCATGTGCTGCGCACATGGCAGAAGCCTGGGCACCTTGCTAGCTCCTGAGTTGCAGGATCCATTCTGACCGCGTCTCCCAAGTGGGGCAGGTGGTGTCCCATTTACAAGGATACGAACATTCTCACTGCCTTCTTTTACCTCTCAAGACTTTTTTCCTACTGATGACAACAATCACGTTACTGTGTTGAGTTGTGTAGACTTGTTCGACTGAGCCCCTTAGGGGTAAGGACTGTGCATTATTTATTTCACAACCCTAGCACCTGGTATATGTTTGGCATGTGATAAAACAGTAATTAGATGGGAACCAGAATATATGAGGTCAGGTCTCACAAGTCCCCTGCTCTACCACTTACTGTATGTTTAATTATTCAGTAAACAAGAACATGAGAGCTTTCTATGTGAGAGGTGTTGTAGTATGCCTGGTCATACAATTTCTGGAATGGGCTGTAACTCAGCAAAGAGCCAAACCTAATACGACCTAGCAGGAACCATGAGCCTTAGCGGACAGGAATTCTTAGGGAATAAATATCTACTTTCCTCTTATAAAGAGTAGCTTGTGGAGCCCAAAACTTTGGTGTTTTTTTTTTCCTTTATTCTGGGGTCAGGAAAGAAAGGGGAGAAGGCACATGATATACTCAGGGCTCCCACTCACACACTCACAGACTATCGTAATAAGAACCAAATAAACTTTAATTTTAATATATTACAGTAGAATAATTATTTTGAAGTATAAAAATAATTGTAACATTTTTTTGCATTTGCAAGTATTATAATATTTGCTATAGACTATAAATAGTTCATTGATGCTATGAACTATACACATTACATTACATTCCTAAGCCTGGACCTTCCTGTCATCTCATGAAGAAAAACAGCTGTGTGATCTTGGGACCCTGCCAAGACATTTCAGAAGTAGCCATCCTTAATGGTAGAATTGGATGGTATCACTCCTAAACTAGTCTTTATGTTTTTTGGCTCAATTCTATAGATTAAAAAAATTTTTTTAAGTGAGCCTGAAATTCTGGGAATTGCTATTTTTTGGAATATCTGATTCCCCCGCTCCCCACCCTAACAGGCAGGAAAACACAGGGAGAAGTGTTAACTTCAACAAAAGCTCATTGAAAAGTAAATTGCCATCAGTGGAAAAGCTATCCAAGTATAGGAAATTCGAAAATAACAGCAGTTAACTGGAAGACAAATTTCATTGCTAAAATCCACTGAAGAATTTCATTTGTCTTTTTCTACTATCATGTTTCCTAATATTTTGAGTGAGGTAAGTTAAGAATCACAAGAAAGATTCTAAAAATTATAGCAGGTTCTGCCCAGATCTGACTCACCTAGTACTTTAGATGCTGAGAACCAACTATTTAAAAAGTAGGAACAACATAATGAGGAAACAGTCTCTGACACTTTGGCATACGAAAAAGGATGTAACTTTGTTTTCTACAATCCAGTTATCCAGGCCAGTTTATGATTTGTGCGCTGCACTGATTAGATCTGGGTCTAAGATAAAAGACGAGAAAACTGGTCATCTTCCTGAGTAGAGCTGAAAGAGCCTCTCGCAACTGTCCATAAGGCAAAGCTTATCTGTGGTCACTGATCTTCCCTCCTTAGCTGCTTTGACTCCTGCCATGTTCCCATCTCCATTCCATCCACTTTCATCTACAGTGGGATGGTGGGGGTATAGGTGGAACAACTGATACAGTGCTTATAGGAATTCTTCTGTCTTTAGTATTTCCAGGGATTATGACTTTCTGTCAGTGCTCACACTGGATAGCAACGGCTCTGCACTTTCTATACCTATAATCCTGGGTACTTTCAGCTCATAAAAAAAAAAATTACATGGTTTAGAAACAAAGGTAATCTGGTACAGAAAAACATGGAGGGCTATTTTCTGAAAATAGCTTGTGAGCCTAAAAATGTTCACTTGTATAATAGGTTTATGTTGCAAAAGCTCAGAAACATGGGGCTGGAATATAACAGGATAGAGTGAGGCCCTTGGGAGATCGCTCAAAGGCCTGTACACAATCCATGTTCTATACCATTACATTAATAAATGGCCATAATGCATTCATATAATCTTTGTAGCCCTACTTTCAAACTTGATGTTTATTCAGCAAGATACATGAAAAAAAAAACAAACCCAAAAACACCTAACCTGTTTTGTTACCTAAAATATAATGGAGAAGTGATAAACAAGATTTGTATTCTTTGCTTCCTGAATAACCTTAAATGTACCGCACAGACACTTTTTTCATAGTACTCACCTTTTAAAAAACTGCAATACTCCTTTACTCCACTGTAACATGTTATAATCATCAAAAATGCAATTACTGAAAGAGTAATCCCATAAGTCTATTATCTATTAATGACTAGACAGCTTGATAAAGGATCTGCCATTCTTGGAATCATATAGCTTTTATAACCTCTGTTAAGAGATGCAGGGCTAGCCAAGTGGCTCAGTTGGTTAAGAGCTCACTCAAGAGTGTGATCTCTGAGCAACAGGGTCACCGGTTTGATTCCCAACTCGAGCTGAGTTGCCACTGAGTTGCCAACAGGTGGCAGGATGGCTCAGCTAAAAAAAAAAAAAAAAAGTTTCATTTTGGGCCAGCCAAGTGGCGCGCTGGTTAAGAACTGGCTTGGGATGCCAGAGGGCGCCGGTTCGGATCCCACATATGAGGGCCAGTGACACTGCCCTCCACAGCTAAGATGCTGAACAACAGCTCGACCTGGAGCTGGGCTGCCGTGAGTCGCCGGCGACGGCGTAGGCTGCAGCCCCTGTGGCAGTGGGTTGCCATGGGCTACCGTGTGTAGCCAGCAGCCAGCGTGAGCGGCCGTCCAGAAGCCGGCGACTGATCTGCCTCGCCCGGGAAGAGCACAATGATGGTGCCAGCTTGGGCCAGTGAAGCAACGTCCTCCACAACTAGACGGAAGAACAAAAACAACAGCAACTTGTCTGTTCCCCTTCCCCTGATTCCCCAGCGCTGTTCCACTCTCCCAATTCCCCAATAAAATCTTTAAAGAAGAAAAAAAAAGAGAGATGCAAGATTCAGAGATGCATTACGAAACTCTTTATGGAATTCCCCAGTAAAAAGAGTGTACAGAGATGGCTAAAAATAAGATGAGAGAATGACGGCGACTCTTGAGCATTAATGGCATTTATTATTGCAGCTTGGAGAAAATGCCATAGAATGTTAATATAAAAAAAAAGTTTGCCATTCTCCTTAAAGTCAGTGAATGATGTAAGAGTTCTCTGAGTATTTCTGGAAGAAAGGCACCGAAGTCTTATTGCTACTCAGATCACTCAGGGGCCACAACACAGGCTCTGGCACTTAACTTCAGCCAGGAGACAAGGTCTAAGCAGCCAGTCACTGGGTTTGTGACTTGAAAAGCAGAGAAGGAAAATGTCACTAAAATAGAGGCCTCCATCTTACATCAAACTTGAGGCAAATGATTTCCAATCTTACGGCAAATTGGTGACTGCTTCCCCAGGCCTCTGGAGCTATTTTAGATAGGCACTCTATTTTCTTTGGCCCATTTCTTCATGATCCGGATGATGTATTCTACTTGGGTGTTACCCGTGCTTCTCAGTAAATGGAGGACTTCTCGAAGGGTCTCTCTGAGGAAAAGATTTGAATGGGCAAAATGTTTCAACAGAGAATGAGAAGTAACAAGTAAAATAAACTCGTAACTGTTCTTCATATACTTCTAGTGGGGCATTTTTGGTAACAGGCTCTTTCCCTGTGTATTCATAAACCAAGTACAAACTTCCTAGTCTGCTATTCTTATGGTGGCATAGTAAAATAAAAATTCTATGTGATCACTTCTCCAACCCAAATTTTCCTTGTTTACTTATATTACCTATATACATGCTATTAATCTTTTTGTCCTGATATGACATAAATATTTCCATTTCTGTGTTTACTTTCCATGGCAGAGTAGAAAGAGGGTACATCAAGGAGTTGGGTTCAAATTCTAGCTCCATACTATCAAGTCACTTAACTTGTCTGAGTCCCAGATTTCGACTTTGTTTAAGGTGATAATCACCTTAAACTGGGTGTCACTGCCATATGTGTGAGGTTTTACAAAGCCAAAAGAATGAATGATTTCTTCAAGAAAAATAATATTTTAATGAATACGGAAGACAGGAAAGTTAAGGACCAAGATTCAATAAATGTCCAGTATTTATGTTTTAATTTATTTAAATTTAACTACAACTAAAATTAATGTTTTAAGTAATGCATACTAAAACTCTCCTATTACCTTGTCAAATCTATAGGTAACTGTCTATTGATCTTCTTCCCTCAGAGTTCTCTCATATTTTTTACTTTTTTCCCTCAATCAACCTCTTTTGCTTAACCAAATACTTTTAAACTTTTATTTAGGACTGGAAGTCGATACAAGGCAGGAAATAATTTTTGATGGATTATTCACGTATAAAATAATCACATCTCATATTCATACATTGATAACAAATATAGTCCATGAAGTTATTTTTAGAACACTGAATTTAGTTTTAATTATTTTAATTTTGTTACAAATGGAGCTGCAAACAATTCTATGTAATCTAATGTCTCAGTATTTCATGGAATATGAGAAAACAAAAGAAAAATAACAACTATCAATGACATCCACTCCATCCCTAATTCTGTGAGGTCTAAAAGATACAATAAAAAGCCTAGACAAAGAAAAGAGTAGAAGAGATTGAAAAATACTTTGTTTATGAAATGGCAATTCATTTGGAGCCAAGTATACATCTTGCTCTTCTATTTGAGAGCTGTAGTGTACTTAGTGTCCCAGCATATATGATTTAGAATGAACCGATTCTATAAGACAAAAAATATCTGGAGGAAAAAGCTCAGATAGAAATACACAACATCCTAACCCTTTATTCATCATTCTAAAACATCATTATAATTTTGAGTTTTCAGAGGATGTCATCCATGAAAACAATTCCTTTATCTCACAAACCAGCAAATGAATAGAGTCTCTTGTCTGTTTACTTACTTGGGTTCTCGCCCAGCTAAGATCATCTGGAAAATGCCCACACAGGCACCCCTCTTGCCTTCCCAATATTCAGGGTTGGGATCCAGTCTCTCTAGGACATCAAATGCTTTGGCTGAATAGTAAAACTGGCCCATCTGAATAAAAGAAAGTATTGTGGTCACAAGATTGCACAGGATGAAACTAAACATAAAGATGCCATGAAACAGAACTGTATAAAATGAATGCATGGGTAATGATAACATTTTCAGTTAGCAAATTAGATAAATTTAAATTTCTTATTAAATAAGAAGGAAAAATCACAGTTTGGGTACACAGGTTCAGTTTAAATGAGCTTACCTTCATTCAGTTTTCAACAATATAACATTTTTTCTACATATAGTCAAGTTGTGCTATAATTAACACATCTGTCAGTTCTAATTCTAGTCTAATCTTGAGGATAAACTTCAATTACTGTGATTTGAAGTGAGTATTTTTCATGCCTTTCCATACAGTCTGTAGATGATTACTGTCATTCATTTGATGCTAATTTGATCATGTTCAACCCAAGAGGATGGTCTTTCCCTGACCTTGTTCCTAAGTTCTCAGGATGCCTCGATGGACACTGACTACTAGTCTAAACACCAAATCTTTCAAACATTTAATTTATTTTGACAGATATCTTTCCCAAGTATACTACACATTTCCTTGGCCGTGTAAAGCATGCTGAATACCGTTAAATTTTGCTTCGATTTCTCGACTGGCAATCATCAGTGTACAGTGTTACCAATTTCACTGAAGGCTTCAAATTGCTGAGCAATCCTCGACTCAGTGTGTTTTAGTGACTTCTCCATTCATGCAAACCATTGTTCTAAACATTTGCTAGTTTTCTTAAGATCTCTATTGCATTCATGGCTTGGCGTTTTTCTATACCACATAGGAAAAACACAACTTGCCTCCCTTCAGTACAAATTATACTTATACCTTTATTCATCCTTCCCTCTTTTCTGCTTATCTCACAGAAAAAAAGTGTTCTTCTTATTCCTTTTCAAGGTTAATCCTTCATCCTGTGTTCTCTTAAACATTTTTCTTTTTCTTTTTTTTGTTTTTTGGTGAAATAACTCACATACAGAATGGTGCATGAAACATAAACGTAAAGTTGAATGACTGATTATAACGTGAATACAAGTGTAACCACCACCCAGGTCAAGAAAAGAAATACTGGGGTGACCGGTTAGCTCAGTTGGTTACAGCGTGGTGCTGATAACACCAAGGTTGCCGGTTCGATCCCTGCATGGGCCACTGTGAGCTGTGCCCTCCCTAAAAGAGTCAACTATGATGCCATTGTAGCATGAAAGCAATGTGTAACCAATGACCATGGCTGTTCCCCAACAAAATTAAAAAAAAAAAAAAAGAATAAGAAAAGAAATACTGACAGCAAAACAGAAGCCCTGTGTCACTTCTAGACCACAACCCTCTCCTTTCTTTCAGAAGTTAACTATTATATTCCGACTTTTACGGTCATCAGTCCTTTGACTGTCTTTATAGTTTTATCACCTATGTATACATTTTTAGACAATATAATTGAGCTTTGCCTCTCAGAATTTTATCTATATGAATAATACTGTAAATATTCTTTTGTCTCTTGCATATGCTATAAGGTTTTATCTTTATTGTTGGATATAGCTCTAGTTGGTTTATTTTTTAAAAACTTTAAATTTTGAATTATAGATTTATAGAAAGTTGCAGATAATGCAGAGAGGTCCCATGTACCTTTCACCCAATTCCCTTGCCTTACAGCTGATGTAATAATAGTACAGTATCACAATATCAAAATCAGGAAATTTACATTGCTACGTGTTTCTAGTTCCGACATTTTATCAAATGTATAGACTCCTATAACTACCACCACTATAAAGATATACAACTATTCCATTACCACAAAGATCTCTGTGGTGGTACCCCTTTATATTACATACATTCCCCTCCCTGCTCACCATCCCTAACCCCTGGCAATCACTAATTTATTCTACATCTATAATTTTTTAATAATGTTATATATATAAAATCAAGCAATATGGGGCCCTTTGAGATTAGCTTTTGTGACGCAGCATAATGTCCTTGTTTTGCCAAGTTATTGCATATATCGATGGCTTATTTCTGTTACGGAACCTTGCAAAAGCAGGAGGTACCTCTGCCCAGTATGGTTTGGATGTTGAGAATGATAATGCCACATACACACCAAAAGGACATGAAAAGGTTTCTTACTTATATAATTGAGGTCTCTGGGGAAAGTAGAGCAGTTTTCTCAAGCAGGTCCAAAATGGCCTGAGAGAGCAAGGAAAGGAGACTGGCCTGGGCTTTTACTGTGGTTGGGGGTGGAGCTGGGGTGAGGGTTCCTGAGAACGGGCAGGGGCCTGTGTGGTTTGAGCCAGAGAAGGGAGCAACTAGGATTTCTTATCATTTTGTCCAGGGCACAAGGAAGTGCAAGTGGTGAGTCTTAAAAGCTGTCAGGACTCAAACATCCAGAAATGGAGTCAGACTCATCATTATAGTTCCTCTTTTTGTTACTGACTAGAATTCCATGTCAAACCACGGGTTGTTTAACCATTCACCTACAGAAGGATACCTGGATTGTTTTCAGTTTGGGGCTATTATAAATAAAGGCATGATTGACATTGTGAGTAAGTATGTATGTGGATATACGTTTTCATTTCTCTGGGATAAATACCTAGGAGTGCAATTGCTGGGTTGTATGGTAAGCCTACGTTTGTTTTTTTAAAGAAAATGCCAAATTATTTCATGATATATCTTTTTTCATCCTTTAATTTTCAACCGACCTATAGCATTATGTTTGAAGTGAGTTTTTTGTAGAGAGCACATAGCTGGGTTGTGGATTTTTATCTACTCTGTTGATATGTCTCTTAATGAATGTATTTAGACCATTGACATTTAATGCAATTATTGATATGTTAGGACTTAATTCTACCCTTTTCCCCCCCATTTGTCCTTTCTGTTTTTCTTGGACAATGACATCTCACGCGTGTCTCTGTAGTTTGTAGCTTGAGAAAGACATGACTGTGCAGTCTACACAGAGGGAGGACAAGAAAGCCTGTGCTTGATGTCATTCGTCTCTGTCTATACATCTCTTTTTCCTGCCATTCCTGTATTGTAATAAATCCTAGCCATACGTATAACTTCATGTTCAGTCCCAGGAGTCCTTGCAGGGAATCACCAAACTAGTGGGTAGTAGTGGGACCACTGAGACGCTATGTAATGCCAAATTGTTTTTCAAAGTCATTAGCTTCCTTTGACCTTGACCCCATCCCCCTCTCATCTTCTCTAGCGCTTCACTCCATCAAAAATGCTCCCACTCTCTTGAGTCTTTAATGTCCCTGTCAATGGTTCCTCTTCCTCTGCCTAAAGATATACCCTTACTCACTATTCTAAACGAAGAAGTCTCCCTCCACCTGCAAAAATAAATCCCCCCCCCAAATCTCTAACCTTGCTTCCCCTTTTAAGTTAGCATCACATTTTTCTCCTTATCCTCAGCATCAAGTGTTCGAAAGACTGTGATCTACATTACACTTGTTGCATCTGCTTTCTAATCCGTTTCTCTTCTCTACCTACTCGTTTCTCAGGCCTACACAGGTCCATCTAGTTGCAGACTTGACACTCTCCTTCCTTGGCTTTTGATAAAATAGGAACGGGGGTCGGGGTGGGGGAGATAGTAACGGAAAGCATGTTTTTTTTTCTCCTGGTTTTTCTCTTTCCTTTCTGTTCATGTTCATCCTGTCTCTTCCACTGACTCTTCTTTCTATTTCTGTCCCATAATCACTGATGTTCCACATGGTTCCTCATACTATTCGCTGGTTAATCTTTCTCTCCCACACTCTGTGCGCCTGCTGCTCCCACCACCACCATAACTGCTGTTAACGTCTAAAACTCCCTGTCTATCTCTCTAATCCTGACCTCTCACCTGAACCCCAGGCTCACCTTGCTAGTTTCCTACATACCTTTGCCTGGGAGCCCCAAACACAGTTCATATTTATTATATCTAAAATTGAACTCAATTCCTGTCTTTTAATGTTTTTCTCCCCTCTGCCTCCCCTAACTCACTTAACATCAATGCCATCCACCAAATCATGTTAAAGAATTTCAAGTTTCCTTTGTTTGAAAACCTTTTCCATTGATGGTGATTCACTTTATTTTTTATAATGATGCACTTTGAAATGAGCTATTATTAATTTAACACTACTCTCTTTACCTGACATTTTCCTGTCTTCTGGATAAGAAGACACATACCCAAAATAGGAATTTCTAGAACTTGAGGCTAATTTTTAATAGCTTTTAATCTACAGGATAGGGTCCAAAACTCCTCCATCCTCTCTGCCTTTCCAACTCCACACACAGACTCTCTCTCTCCACCCTCCCTCCGTCCCTCCCTCTCTCTCTCTCTCTCTCTCTCTCTGTCCTTGACCAAATGACTGCATTTTTATTCTCTTTTTCTGGTTCCTTTGTCTTTCCTGTCTACTATTTACATGTTAGCATTCCCCAAGATTTGGCTTGCAACCCTCTATTTTTCTCACCTTACTTCCTTACCTGGGTAATCTCACTGTTTTTCAGGGTTTCAATTACTACTGAAATGTTGATGTTTTCTCCAAATCTATGTCTTCAGATGTCAGAGGACATCTTTCTTGAGCCTCAAAACCAAATTTCCAACTACCAGATGAAAATCTCTTTCTGGATGGTATCTAAAGATTCACAACCTTTAGAAATCGAAAACCTCTTCTCTTAATCATTATTTCATCTACATGTAAAATCTTGAAACGCTGTCTATCTCTGAATTCAGTTCATTCATAAAAGAGATGACATTTCTGATATTGCTATGCGAATAGCCATTTAGTCTCTAGGACATTTCTCCCTGATATTTAGCCAATGCAGCAGTGTGATACTGATCTTCAATTTTCCTGTACTCTCCTTCAGACCCACCTTGTAGCAGTCATTAGCAAGGAGCTGTAGGAGGCTAAAGGACTCAGCAGAGGTTTCCATCTTTAGGTAAAGTTCCCAGGCTAGCCTTGGTTTCTTATTCAGTATATCTACAAAAAGAAGTAAAGATTTATGCTTTTTGAATGTATAAGAAATACATTTCTGCATTTTGCTATTCTGTGGATTTGGTTCTGTGTTTCAAATATACAAAGTAATGGTAAATAGCTCCTACGTGGCAAGTTTGTGACGTTGACATTAACAAGCTTCCCTATCAGAACTCCACCATACTTAAAATTTTTATTTAAGTTGGGATTTAGATAATTATGTCTTCTTAGATTGGGTTGATTTCCAGTAGTTCCCATTTAGTTCATTTGCTTAAAAGAGGATACCTATCATTCATTCAATCCTACTCTATAGTTTCGACCTTAGAATATCTGATTGCTAAAATTTTCCCGCAACTTCAAAAACTCAGTGAACATTTTAAACCCAAGTGAACAAAAGGAGGAAAATAAATAGTGCACAGACAGACAGAGACTATAGGCTAAGTAATATACAAAAAAATTATGTTTCTGACATTTGCCACTTTTAAAGCCAGCACCATAGTAAAAAGGTAAAAATCAGCGAAACAATATCATTTCTCTCAAAACACTGTGAACTGTGACTCTGGAAACTTTAACAGTGCTAAAGGAAAACCTGGCATCTGTTAGGTCTGCATGTGCTAGGTCAATGTTATATGGCCGGATTAATCACAGGGTAAACTTATATAATAGATGTACATGACCATCCTTACTGAGTAGCACTAATAACACAATTTTGGCATTTACTCATTCTATAAAACAAAATTACAAAACGCTCAATATAATTTCCATCCAGAAGACTATGCAACAGAGAAGAAAAAGAGGGTTCTTCTGTGACATTTAAAAGAAGACTCACAGCATCGAGCCAACCAACTGAGATAAATGTAATCGTTTTTCATCTTCTCACTTTGGATTAACAGAAAAACCTGTGAGAAGAGGAAAGAAAGGGAATCAACATGAAGATGCTTTTGCAGTAAGAACATTCATATCAACATTAATGATTAACACAGCTTTATGGATGACCAAATTTTATACAGGCTGCTAAGAAAAGCGAAGGACAAAATTGGGGCGATTTTAACACACTTCTCTCAGTTACTGATCTCACAAGCTGACAAAAGATGGGTAAAGATATAGAAAATTTGAACAGAATAATTAACAACTGCACAACGCATATTATTTTCAGGAACACGTGATTGTGCTACCGGGCAATAAAACAAGTTGCAACAAATTTTAAAGGAGTGATGTTATATAGACCAGACCACATTCTATGACCACAATAGAATTAAATTAGAAATCAAAATAAAATAACCTGGAAAGGATAAAGCATGTTTGAAAATCATGAAACACATTTTAAAGTAAGTCACAGTCAAAGAAGAAATCATAACAGAAATTAGAAAATATTTGGAATTTAAATAATAATAAGTTGAATAATTTGTTGAATGACAAAATTCAACTGAATAATTCAACTGAAATATTTTGAATAATTTAGACAAATCGATCTATGAAGTTAGAAGTTAAGACAGTGGTTATCCTTGGGGGAAAGAGACAGATGCAAAAAGAGATAATATTCTGTTTCATGATTTGGGTACTGATTATTTGGGTATGTTCACCATCAGACAGTACAGTTTGAGTTGTATGCTTTTCTCAGTGTATGTTATGCTTTTATGAAATTTATCAAAAAAAGGAAAACATTAATGTGGTTATAAAAATCTACATATCTATTCACATTGTATTTTTTAATGTAGCTTAAGAACAAAGGAACTTTTAATAATCCTTTACCCTTAAAATTTATTTCATTGAAAAAAAGACAACAATGTTTTTGCACAGAATCATTCAAATGCCTTCAAAGCAGGTACTCACCTCTTCAGCCTCACTGGTATTGCCTGTTGCAGCTTTGGCTTGGGCATAATTAAAGTTAAAGATGTCATCATTATAGAAGTAACTCTGAAAAACATCCCAGGAACAGGTCATGTCGAGCATTAACATAGAAAATATAAAAACCTCAGTTCTAACAGATAAATACAAAAATAATATTAAGCAATTAGCTGATGCCACTAATGACAATATAGTAAAAAGGGCATCTCTAAGAGTATCTTATCTCTGACATTATATATGAGGTCGGACAATTAAGTTTGCGAACTTTCCACCCTTCGTATATAGTATTTTGGATCCAAGGTCATCTAGAAAATTCTATACTGACCTTAAATGAGTTGAGGTATATCAAGACATCATCAAATTGCTTAAGCAGGAAGAAACAGGAAGCCATGCACTGCCTCCCTGGTACTGTATCTGAAATGGCACAGGAAAAGAAACCATGTGTATTCATGAAACCAACAGGTTTCTTTTGCTGAAATTTGAGTTCTTTTATAATTTAGAGATAGGACTGTATTCCAAGACATCATTTTAGACTCTGAAATTACAGATTCTGTTCAGTGGACAAAACCTCAGCAGAACGGAGGTCACAGGGCTGGAGTGTGGCTGGTAATCTTTCTCTGGGTTAACCCTCAGAGTCCAAAATGAACACATGCGCTGCAGGTTACAGGAGTCTTCAGGTCTTTTTCCAGGGCTTTGATTCTCTCACTCAACTCCAACAGCTGCACATCCAACCAATGTGCCTTGGTCTCCATCTTTATTTATCCAAGACAACCTAGCACTTTTACTGTCAAATGGAGAAATAATTTGCCATAGAACCATCTGATCCTGACCCTGACCCATTTTTGGGGTCTGATGTCACATTCCTATTTGAGTAAGTGCCACTGGCACTTCCAATCCTCCTTGCTCTGTTCAATCTTTTCCCCACAGCACTCATCACAGATATGCTATATAATCTATTTATTATGCTTTTAGTCTGTGCCACTAGACTGTATGCTCCACAAGTAGGGGGATTTGTTTGTTTTGTTTACCGCTGTATCCCCAACACCTCAATACATTTTTGTTGTATAAATAAATGAAATAGGAAAAACAAATAGTTCTGGTGAAACAGCTAAAAGAAAATGAATATACAGGGGTGGAAAAAAAAATATTTAACAGCCAGTTCAGCATGAACACTGTTAATCAGAATACATGCCAGCACAGACAATGGTACAGACAGCCACGTCAGTTCCTACTGGCTAACTATCATCCCTTCTTATAGCCCTTCCTCAAATCTTACATTGAATCTTGACTGATGAAATCAATGCTTTAATAAGAGAAATGAAGCCATAAAACTACTTGTGGGACATTTAGGTGAATATTATATAACCACAGGGGTAAGAACATACCGTCTAATAAACTTGATATCCATGTAAGAAATCATTATTGAAAAGATAAACATCATTAAATAAGATTGAAATATTTTTATATAGGAAAAAATATGATAGGTAAATAAAAGTCAATTGATTCACTGGGAAAAATATCTACATGACAAAAGCTCTAATATATAAAGAGCTCTTGAAAAATGAATAAAAGTTAATGTTTCAAATCAAAAACAGAATCAAATATTTAAAACGCTCAGCAACTAAAGAATACATCTATTCTCCTCTATTTCTATATTCCTCCTCCCACTTTAGCTGAGATATTGAGAAGAACTAATTCTAATGTTCTCTCCTGTGTCTGACTTCCCATTTTATCGTGGGAAACCTAACAGATGTATCCCTGGACACAGAATAAAATGTCACCAGTCAATACACAACTAGCTCCAATTATGAATCATGCTCACAAGTAGAGACTTCAGACATACCACATTCACTAGCTGAACCTCCCACCAACTGGAAGAACTGCTGGGCAATTTTCATATGATCCCTCTGAAAAACAAAGCACAGCCAATTTAGAAGAATAAGTTGAACATATTTTATTTGTATTATACTTTATGGTTTTAACATATGTGTCAGGATTTAACATATACCCTTGTTTTAAGTCATCCTCAAAACAATACTAATTCTAATTAGCATAAGCCACTAGAAAATGATAACCTGAAACTGAATTAAAATCTACTCTGGATCAGACAAAAAAAAAAGAAGAAAAACAAAATCCATCCCTAAATTCTATCCTAAAAGTAGCTTCATTAAATGAACTCATTCAACCAGTTAACAAATACTTATTGCTCTTTTACCACGTAACGGACCATGTGGTAAGAGCTATGGTTATAACAAGGAGTATTTATTAAAGAAAGTCATTCATTTATTCAACAACTCTTTTCTACCCATCTGCTATATGAGGCACTGTAAAATGAGATGGAGATAAGATTTATTTATATCCCACTTTGTTCCAAAAAGAACTTATTATTCTTATTTAGAGTATTAGACTTTTAAATAAAAGAATTATTCTTTTTAGAATATTAGATAAATGTTTAGATCAATAATAGTTTAGTTTTAGACAGTATTTTAGTGTTTATAAAAAGCTTTTCCAGAGAAACAATTTTCCCCATTTTACAGATGCCAAAATTATAGCTCAGAGGTGTGCGACGTTAAAAAAAGAAGTCACTGAAAATAAGAATGAAGCTGTGCAATGATTTGTTGTTATTAGATATAAACACTTTAAAAATTGGGCGATTTTTAGCATTAAAGTTTTTTTATTGTCTTTAACATAAAATTCTTTTTACAGTAGAATCTGGATTGGGGGATATGGAGAAATGAGGAACTGCATTAGAGCCTATTTCTAAGCTCATTGTTGGTTGAACTTTGACATTCGTTTTGATTGTTTTCATACACTATAACTTTGCAGACTACAGATTACCAGTGATCCCATACTCACCGAACCCATTTCTTGGCCAAGGGCTGCATTGACCACTCCTTTGAGGATATACTCCTGGAAACGGAATAATACCGATTTAAAAGGAATGTGAAGCTATCAGATATCTTTCAAATCAATTATTTGCATCAACTCAATACTTTATATAGATTATCAAAAGTTACCCACAGTGATATTTCTCTGTTCTATCCCTGGCTTGAAATAAATAATTAGGAGACTTTCATTTGGTTTCCAGCAGGTAAGTGTCCATATAACAGAACTTACTATATTTGTAAATTCTCAATCTTAAGCAGAAATAACTCAGTGGAAACTTCTGAGAGTTAAATTTTGTTTTATTTCAATTCAATGGGAAAAAATTGTTTATGTTAATAATTTTTATCACATTATCAGCCTCTGTGACATCATATATATTATTTTACCATTCCGATGATATAATAATCTTCCTTTGTTAGTGATCCTTTCTTCAAAAAAAAAAGTGTCCTCTAGTTTCCATTTGTAAGGTATTTTCTTTTTCTTTCTTTTTTAAAAAGATTTTATTGGGAAATTGGGGAAGGGGAATAGTGTTGGGGAATTGGGGAAGGGGAACAGCCAAGTTGTTCTTCAATCTTCGTTGTGGAGGGCGCCAGTTGCCATCTGGCTTCCCGTCAGCAGCTCATGGCCTCTAAGCTCAAGGTGCTGTGTTCAGTCTTAGTTGCGGGTGGGCATAGCCACCATCCCATGCGGGAGTCAAACCAGCAGGCTTGTTGTTTAAGAGCGCACACTCTATCCACTGAGCCATCTGGGCAGCAGCTCAGCTCAAAGTGCCCAGTTCAGTCTTAGTTGCGTGTGGGTGTAGCCCACCATCGAACAGGCAATCTTGTTGTTACACCAGCTGAGCCATCCTGCCACCTGTTGGCAGCTCAGCGACAACTCAGCTTGGGCGCAGTGTCACTGGCCCATGTGGGAATCAAACCAGGGCCCTGTTGCTCAAAGCTCGCGCTCTTAAGCCAACTATTAACCAAATGAGCCTTACAGGGGCTGGCCGAGTGGCTCCATTGGTTCGAGTCTTTAACAGATACCCTCCTTAGCAGTTTTTTATCCTCTTTATCAATTTTTATGTGAGTGCTATTTTTATTTAAGAAGATGCATAACAAGAACAGTAGAAGATGCTAAAGCTTTTAATACACTTGAGAAATATACCTGTTTAGACTTCATGGGATCTGTAAACATTTTCAATCAGTGTTTCATTCAATAAGTAGAATGATTACTGTGTGCTTAGTGCACATAGCATTGGAGATACAATGCAGACACAAACCCTGCCTGCAAGGAGCTGACAATCTAGTGGGAGAGAAAGACAAGTTACAGACAATTATACTAGTGAGATAAGTGTCTATACCTCATCCCTGCATTCATCAGAATTCTAGATTTCAGGGCCAGCCAAGTGGCGCATTGGTTAAGAGCTGGCTTGGGACGCCAGAGGGCCCTGGTTCGGATCCCACATATGAGGGCCAGTGACACTGCCCTCAACAGCTAAGGCGTAGGCTGCAGCCCTTGCTGCAGTGGGTTGCCATG